TCAAGTCAAATCAAATAATTTCATATATCATGGTCATATGAAGAGAGGTTGAGAGAAATATCATTTTGTTCTTACAAAAGATAGGGAAAAAAGAAACGATTCCAAATGTTTCTACCAATCAATAATTCAATCAATTCAATTTCAATTTCAATTTATTGTCCAATATTGGAAATTCGTTTTGCTCACATTTACAAACATACAGAGAATCATAACGTTGAATAACATTGTTTCATAACGTGTAATTAGTTGAGTCTCCATAGACTGATGTAATAGACCGATGAACACGTCCCACTGGAAACTGGAGCCCTGCACGGGATGAGCGCGTCTTTGCCTTAGAAGAATCAAAATAAGTTTACATTCATAATGCATCATATACTCTGACATAGAAATTCTTCCGAATATTGCTTTACCGAAAGTTTTGTTACGTTATTATAAAGCAAAATAAGTGAATTTTTTTAAATGTTCGTGAAAAATTTGGGATTGATGGCATTATGTATATTTTTGTATAGTCCATAAACGAAGAAATAGTCCAGAATGGAAAGATAATCATAATATATCTTATTACATAAATTCATATCATATCACATCATTTCACAGAAAATCAAATCAAATCAAATCAAATCATGTCATATCATATCATATCATATCAAATCAAATCAAATCAAATCAAATCAAATCAAATCATGTCATATCATATCATATCAAATCAAATCAAATCATGTCATATCATATCAATTCAGTTCATTCATATAGAAACCACAATTTTGGATTATTACCAATATACACATAAGTATACAAGTTCATTATACCACTCGTCCATTTTCGAGAGGTAAACACAATACAACACAATTGAACACGAACTCTGAAGCTCTCGTCTACTTCCTTATGATGGGTTTTCGTACTTGTCCATGTTTCAATAAAAATTGTTTCTTAAAGGTTTCGATAAAGGTAATTCTCCGTTTTCCCCGTATTTTGTACCCATCCCATAGAGTCGGGAAGTGAAGTGAAGACCCTACAAAAAATATGATATAAGCACTTTTGAGTTTGATCCGGAACGTTTGGATCTCCCCCCCCCCCCCCAAAGCCCACATGTTTGTCATCTTGTAGAATTAATTGTGAAATTTAAAAAATCTCTACTTGCTTATTTCCTCCTCATGTTTACCTGCAGATTGCGATGACCACTCTGATGAAGCAACTAAACCGGTACCGAACCTACCGAATTGGATGTAAAGCTCTTTTAGAGCTCCTTGGAGAGGGAGCCCCTCACAAGGATGATGATACAATTATACGGAAGATGCGACACATACCAGATTTCTGGAAGAGTCGACCATTAACAGAAGAGATGATCTACTACGCTGCATCTGATGCATTGTGTCTAATTCCCAGCCTCTACCTGAAACTCAGAAGGTAATATGTTCGTTCCATATTTTCTCTTACTTTTTCCTATCTGAAAATCTGAAAATCTAGAATTAATAGAATTTTTGTCCATGATACTTTTCCGAATAACATAACACGGGTAATCATTTTCCTTTATATGATTATGCAAAACTTAGAAAGAGCAATTGATTTATTTCATGTGTTCGGTCTACTAAATATCCAATATCACGTGTTTGCCCTTTCTGGAAATCTGGCTCAATTCAGTTAAAAAAAAAAAACATGAGCAGGTCTAGGTTTTATTATTATCATTCTTCTTCTTATCATTATGATAATGATAATAATAATAATAATGATAACGATTATTATGATTATGATTATGATTATAATAATGATAATAATAATAATAATTATTATTAATACTATCATTATTATCATCATTAATATTACTATTATTATTACTGTTATTATTAAACATCTATTCTACAACAAAAAATCTACGAGATTAATCATAACTTTTTCATTGATTATAGTTTGTGTATTTTGTTAAATAGTATGATGACACCTATTTGGCGGGATTACTTCAAGTGGGCTTGCAGGAAAACCGTTGAAAACATCCTGAAAAACAGGCAGCAAATTAGTTACCATGGCATCAACGCTGTCGATCACGATATCCGTCTATAAATGAGTAAAATGTGTAAACATATACATGTATATTGGTTATTGTACCATATTTTATAATAACAATGTCTGACAATGTATTTACAAAACGATAACACTAGACAAAGAGGGTTACAAGCCGACTAGCTTAAGACTATCGTGTTTTAATACTTTTATATATGATGTCATATATTGTATTGGAAAAATGTCCCGAATGTAAATTTCACATTAATGCAAATGCATAATGTTCGGGAAAAAGATGTCAGAAGATGACGACATTATAGAAATCAATAAATCAATTCAAATTACAATTAGTCAATATAAATCACGTTTACGCGTTAGCATGAACATAATCGTACATTAAAAGGTGATGATAATACAGTGCGTCCCAAAAAAAACTATACACTTTTGATATGGCCGCCGAATAAAAAAATATATAATTCTGGGGGACAATTTTTATATGTATGAAAAGCTCATAAACTCAGCTTTCATATGACACCAGAAAGTTTGAAAATAATTCTTGCTTGGGTGAGCACTGCTCACTTTTGTAAAGGGTATGAAAATTAGGTTGCGCAGGAATTAGCCTTCCAATTTGTGAGAGGTAAATCCTTTGGTGCTTACAAAATCGAGGGTGATTATGATACATTCATGATTTGCTGAGTGAATTACATGGTTTATAAAACCAAAATTGTATGCATGAGTGAACAGGAATTTTATTTTTTATTGTAGGATTCTAACTTTCCCTGTTAGACTCAGTGGTGTGTTCATGGGAGTCAGGATGGGGTGATGGTACATGTTGTAATTTCCATCTTACAAACTGTTATTTTTTACATCTGTGACTTTGAATAAAAACATTCACCCCACATTTCAGTTATTGTAAGATTAGTTGAACATCTCATTAATTTACTTAATAACCAGATGGGGATTATGTAAAATTATTGTAAATTGATTATTCAAATACGGTTTGTTGAAAAGAGGAATATCACAGATGTTGGCTACTTATTCTTAAGGTTACCCATTTACCATTTACAGAAACTCAAGTGCTAAAATGACTGGTTGGTTGGTTGATAGATTGAGTGATTGACTGAGTTATTGATTAATTATGATTGAATGATTAAATTGGTTGAAATACTGAATGGTGATTGAATGCTTGATTGATTAATTGATTGACTGATTGACTGATACCGTTCATTGTTCATTAAGTGATTGATAGCTGAATGTAATGGATTGTCAAGATATGCACAAGCACACCCAGGCAGAGAGAGAGAGAGAGAGAGAGGGGGGGGGGGGAGGGGCATACATGTCCTCTTGACCCTAATCCCATCTACCAAACAAAGTCCTACCCTACATTTCACCTCCCCTGCACCATGTACCATCACCCCGTCCTGACTCCCATGAAAACTCCACTGAGTCTACCATGGAAAGTTACATTGCTATACGGTAATAACAAATGCAATTCCTGTTCACTCATGCATAAAATGTTAATCCCATAAACTACAAATTTCACTCAGCAAACCCAAACTCATCACAATTGATCATAAATTGGTCATATCATCCTCAATTCCGTAAGCTCCAAAGGATTTACCTCTCACAAATTGGAAGGCTAATTCCTGCGCAACCTAATTTTCATACCCTTTACAAAAGTGAGCAGTGCTCACCCAAGCATGAATTATTTTCGAACATTTTGGTGTCATATGAAAGCTGAGTTTATAGGCTTGCTATACATATAAAAATAATCCCCCAGAATCATATATTTTTTTATTCGGCAGCCATTTCAAAAGTGTATAGTTTTTTTTTCGGGACGCACTGTATAGGTGAGTTTGCAGCCTAGTTGTTTGTATGGATCTGTGTGTTTCTTGTCTCCATCTTTAAAAGGAGGTTGATTGCAACATCTCTCCATTTCACTCTATCTTCTGCCATTCTGGTGCACTCTTGCAGTTTTAGTCCACTCCAGTTCTTGACATTCACTTCCCAGTTGATTCTGATTCCCTCTAGGTGTACTTCCTTCCACACTTCCCTCCAATACATCCTTTAAGAGGCTTTGGTGCCTTTTAACATGACCAAAGCATTTGATTTTTCTCTCCTTAACTAATCCTACTAGTGCAATTTGTTTACGCCCTGCCATGTGCAATATTGTTGGTTTTCATTCGTTTCCAGGATATTTTCATCATTCTTTTGTAGATCCACATTTGAAAAGATGTTATTCTATTTTCCATGGCCTTGTTTATTGTCCATGTTTCTGCTCCATAAAATAGGACAGACCATACATAACAGTTTACTAGTCTCAACCTAATCAGAATTATTAATTGTTCTAGCATTTAAAATTGGTTGTAGTGTTTCATTTGTGCAAACCATAGCCGAAACTTGTGTTAATCTAATTTTCTTTTCCTTGGCACGGGATCTGTATAGAGCATAATTCTGTACGCTGTTAAAACAATAAAGGGGAATTCCACCCTGATATTTAGCTAATATTAATAAAAGCAGACAAACAAGATTAACAAAATAATTATTAAAAATTTGAGCAATCACCGAATTAAAAGTAGGAAAGTTATGAATTGTTGAGATCGTCAATAGTGAAACTCAAATTGGCAACACTGTGACCTGTCTTGCGAGGTCCTCTCCAATTTGTTCTGTACAGAAAACTTCATTAACGTTAATTTTCTTAGTCATTGATGACGGAATATATTCGTTTCATGCAGAAACATATTTGCAATAATACGTAGAGAGTGCATGTATGATTGAAAATAGTCATAAAGGAAAATAGTCATGAAGGAAAATAGAAATTTCTGATGTTTTTAAGTACAGAGCAAATGGGATGGGACCTTGTAAGCTACGTTACAGACACAGAGGTGAACATTATTATGTGTGATAGACTGCAACTTCAAATTTTCATTGCTTTCTTATGTTTAGACGGATTTTGCTTAAACACTCACTAACCTTTTTTTCCTCTCGTCTTTCTGGCGGACTTCCAAAAAAACGGATTAAAAACTTGTGAAGACATGAATACTCTATCGCCTACGTACATTTCGACATCACATTAATTATGACACATCATAATATCCAGTCTATGACAGTGTGATTTTCTATACAAAAGTAATTGACGGAAATGATATGGACTAATGAACTTGAATCGACAATAGTTACGAAATATGTCGGTGTTGGGTGGTACTAGAATGTAATGTTTCGTCATATTGGTGAATGATGGTTGGTGTATCAGAATGTGTTATGAAATAAGCCACAATGTCAGAGTAGAATAAAAGTTACCCGCATTCTGAAAGTCAACGGCATTCGGAGTACCGCGCATCTTCGGAAAGTCCTGATAAGAGTTTTCTCCATACCCTCGGCTGATCATCACGATGTACTCCATGTTGAGCAGGAGGGACGTCGCTCAGTCTCTAGATCTAGGTCCAGAGCAATTTTTCCAGGATACAGGAAGCCCTAGCGGTGTGCCTCAGGAGATCGCAGGGCGCATCATTTCAGCAGTCCTGGAGGTCATCTCTACCTGCAGATCCTTATCATCGCTCCTTCCTCGCGTTCTCTCACATAATAAGGTCGAGAGCATACCAAACATCGATCTCTATTTAGCAACTAGTAACGATCTGGAAAGATTCATCCGAAGTATGCCTCAGTACTTCACAATCTCTGGCAGCCATGTGAGAAGAGGTAATAGCTTTGCGGAGGATGTTTTCAATGCAGCCATTAGAAAGAGAGCGTTGGAGATACACCCTTCAAGTAATGTGAGAAAAGGTTTGGCTGCTGCCGCTTTGGGCGTACCAAATGATTTATTTCGTAAGTAGGCCTAAAATACATTCGTACTTAATATTTGATAAATTTATTTTAGATATAAATTTCACTCTAAAACAGTTGGGTCCACATATTAATTTTTACACATTTTACACTGTCACCAAACCTATTATCCCTTCACCAATTAATATTGAAGATAATGGTATCGTGTAGTAGTGTATCAATAGAAGCATCGAGTTTGATGATTTAATGCATACATATAAATTTCAATCCATACATATAAATTTCAATCCCTACATTCATATAGGGGTCTGCTGGCGGGGGGGGGGGGGGGGGGGGGAGAGGGGGTACACTTAACATGTACAAATACATCATCTCGTTATTTGTTTATTATTATTATTTGTTTCATGAGTGGTTATGCCATGAAGAATGTTATTTCATGTTCATGTAATTGAGATATTTACATTGATTACTCGATAAAAATCATGGGACTTGGATCATGGGCGGGTGCTCAATGTTTCTAAATGATGTCCTCTCTAAGCAGAAAGCGAATAATATTTGTTCTCAGATGTGCTCAGTCAAACCCAAATTATCGATTCAATGAGGGACTGTAATCGAGTTCTTGATCCGATCCTTGACCAGTCTAGAAGAGAGAGTGTGGTCATTGGACTCGATTGTGAAGGTGTCAACTTAGGTATGTACACGTATTTGTAATTATATTTCACACAAATCTCTATTAAACTACTCGAAAAAGCATAATGGATTTTTTTTTTCAGGCAAGGATTACTGTGTGTCAAATGTGCCCGTCTTCGTTTTGGAGTTATTTTATAGCTAATCGAACTCAGAGTTCGCAAACGTCCGATTTTCATGTAATTGAAAAAAAAGAGGTATTTTTTTTTTTGGTGCATGTATGTCTCGTCATTGGCTTTTCAGTTGTCCATCAGTGGCGATTCTAGGGTTAGGGACCTTAGATATATAAATATTTTTTTCGATCATGTTTTTTTTCTTCTTCTTTTTCCTTTTTATTTGAAAACATTTTTTATTGAGGTTATTTTTATTTATGTTTTTTCCAGCAAGATTTAGTCAATTTTGTTTTATCAGTTTGATAATTCAGAAATCTTAAATTATACACCGTTTTTAGTTATCTTGATAGCAATCGACGCTAGAAGTAAGACAAAGACGATAAACAGAAATTAATGATAAGTTTTGTTGTTGTACACGAGAAATAGAATACTTGTCGGTGACTATGTCATAGTTCACTGACCAACGTTTCGTGTGCTTATATTTTAAACATTCATAACTCTCAAATTATTGGTCCGATTTATTTCAAATTTTCGTCGATTTTGTTGTTTCTGCTTCCATACAAATCAATGTTTTACAAAATTTGGATTGTCTTATATATGAACATACTTTATTGGGCTGTTATATCCTGATTTGTCCTTCTTAACAGGGGAACGTGGAGGATGCCTGACTCTTGTTCAGATCTCGACCTGGGACGGGAAAGCATTCCTCTTTGACGCCTTCAAGAACCCTCAGCTTCTCAAAGGAAACTCTAGTCTCAAGAAGATACTAGAACATAACAGCATCCTTAAGGTATGCCGTCATCCTATCAGGAAATCTTATTTTTGTCGTAGTCACATAATTCATGTCATTCATGATTGTAAGATGTAATATTTGCTTATACCATTTCATGTGACGTCATTCAGTAAATTTACTTTTAAAAATACAGATAAAAGAAAGATATATATATAAACAAAATATAATACAAATCTAGCTTCACTCTTTAACTTCGATTTTACTTTTATTGAACGAAGCGCTATTAGTATTGATTATTTTCATTCAATATAATTATCTTGTTACTATAAAGAGAGAGAGAGAGAGAGAGAGAGAGAGAGAGAGAAAACACACAATCTTAAAGCCCTGAGCATTAACTACAGTTGAAAACAAGTTTATAATTGTTACGCCATCGTTTCTTTTCGTGAAATGTGATGAACAAATTAGACTAAAATATGACATGGCAGTGAATGACGTCATGGTCAAGTAACAGAATGAGGTTATAGTTGGAGTACAATTTTGTTTCATTCTATTCAGGTGATCCACGACTGCAAATGCGACACCCATGCACTGCACAATGAATTTGGTGTCATACTCAAGAACGTGTTTGATACGTCGGTAAGTCATTTTCAAATCAATTTAAATCATATCAAATCACACTAAACAAATTAAATAATCAAATGAAAACGAATCAAATCAAATCAAATCAAATGATATCGAATAACATCGAATAATTTCATATCATATGATATCAATTCAGTTCATACATATAGAAACCACAATTTTGTTCATTACAAGTTCATTATACCGCTCGTCCATTTTCAAGAGGTAAACACAATACAACACACTATAACACGAACTATGAAGCCCTCGTATACTTCCTTGTGGAACGGGTTTTCCTACTTGTCCATAGTCTCAATAAATTGTTTCTTATAGGTTCCGGTATCGGTATCTTTTGTACCCATCCCTTAGAGTCAGTTCCATTACATTTACAGGTGAAGACACTACAAAGAAATATGATCTAAGCACTTATTGATCCGGAACGTTTGCATGTTCAAAATTAAAATCATGTTTGTCATCTTGTAGAATTAATTATTAAATTAAAAAAACATCTCTACTTGCTTATTTCTTCCTCATGTTTACATGCAGATTGCGATGACCACTCTGATGGAACAATTAAACCGGTACCGAACCTACCGAATTGGTTTCAAAGCTCTTTTGGAGCTTCTCGGAGAGGGAGCCCCTCACAGGGACGATGATGCAATTAAACGGAAGATGCGACACACACCAGATATCTGGAAGAGTCGACCATTAACAGAAGAGATGATCTACTATGCTGCATCTGATGCATTGTGTTTGGTTCCCAGCCTCTACCTGAAACTCAGCAGGTAATGTGTTCGTTCCATACTTTCTCTTATTTGTTTCTTCTCTAAAAATTTGGAATTAATCGAATTTTCGTCCATAATACTTTTCGGAATGTCATAACACAGGTATAATCATTTTCCTTTATAGGATTGTGCAAAACTTAGAATGAGCAATAAATTTATTTTATGTGATCGGTCTTCTAATTATCCATTATCACGTGTTTGCCCTTTCTGGAAATCTGGCTCAATTCAGGTTAAAAAAAAAAACATGAGCAGGTGTAGTTTTTATCATTATCATTCTTCTTCTAATAACAATTATTATAATAATGATAACGATTATTATGATAATGATTATGATTATAATAATGATGATAATAATAATAATAATAATTATAATTATTATTATATTATTATTTATATTACTATTACTATTATTATTACTATTATCATTAAACCTGTATTCTACAACAGAAAATCTACGAGATTAACCATAACTTCTTCATTAATTACAATTTTTTTTGTATTTTGTTAAATAGTATGATGACACCTATTTGGCAGGATTACTTCAAGTGGGCTTGCAAGAAAACCGTTAACAACATCCTGAAATACAGACAGCAAATTAGTTACCATGGCATCAACGCTGTCGATCGCGAAATCCGTCTAAATGAGTAAAATGTGTAAAAATATACATGTATATTGGTTACTGTAACATATTACACAATAATAATGTCTGACAATGTATTTACAAAACGATAAAACTAGATAAAGAGGGTTACAAGCCGACTAGCTTATTACTATCGTGTTTTAATACTTTTATATATGATGTCATATATTGTATTGGAAAAATGTACCGAATGTAAATGTCACATTAATGCACATGCATAATGTTCGGGGAAAAGATGTCAGAAGATGACGACATTAGAGAAATCAATAAGTCAATTCAATTTACCCGTTAGCATGTACATAATCGTACATTAAGAGGTGATGATAAGGCCTAAAATAAAAACTTGTTGCATTGCCCTTTGGGTGCCAAAACATGGGTCGGTCGGTCGGAAAAGTTTTGTTTTTTTAAACTTTTTTTTGTCGCCCTCTTTGGGCCGATATTTTTCAGATTTGAATGTTTTTTTTTTTTCCCCGCCCTCTTTTGGCCGATATTTCTCAGTTTTTAATGCTTTAATACATGTGTTTCAGCGTCATCATTGCATTCATATCTTTTTCACCTCATTATCATCCATGGTTTGTACGAGTCAGAATTTTGGAATATATTCAAACCAAACGTCTTGCCTATGTGTAGACATAGACATTAAACTACCTTACAATATATTTATTCTCCTAAAAAACAGGTAAAGATTCTCATTTTGATTATAGTGATTACTATGTATTACATTCTCTTTGTCAGGTGGTACTCTGTACTAAAATACCAATGAGAATATAGTGTGTATTCTTTAAGCTTTACTTTTTCTGCAACAATATTATGATGTTTGATAACGAAGCATTTAAGTACTGTATGGAATAAAAAAACAAGTAAAGGCATGTTTAGATATGGCGCGGAAAACTGCCGCAAAAAGCTACCCCGGTTTTTCTTACGTGTTAAGCACACCGCACACTATACGATCTACACTGTTGGTCATAATGGTGGAATAATTATTTTTACCCCAATTTATTGAATGATTTTGACAATGATTTATTCCTAATAGATCTAGATAATAGTAAACATTCTCAGATTTTATTGAATGACAATTGGGGAGTGTTTGTTTTGTGTGACTGCTAAAGCATGTGTGTGCTACTATGCTAATCAACAAGGGGACCTGCGTCCTTAAGTCATAACTGACAGTAATGGGGATTAATGCCTCATAAAAGGGCACTAATATAGCCAATCGACATGGTTTTGATCCTGGTGGCTCACAGTAATGAGGCCATTGCTTAGCCAAAGAATCATGACGGTACGCAGCGGGCGCTAGGGTACGTCGACGCCTCCACAAAAACAAAAAAACAAAGAACTTAATGCAATAAATTTTCAATAAATCATTGCATTTCCCCCCCAGTCCCCAATAGGAAAAATTCCTATGTAGGGCCATGCATTATGGTTCAAGGCATGCCCACGTAGAAGATTTCTTTATGTTGGGGGTCGGGGGGAAATGCAATGAATTATTGAAAATGTATTGCATTTTCTTTGCTTTTATTGTTTTTGTGGGGGCGTCGACGTACCCTAGCTGCGATCAGATCGTAACAAGATCGTAGCGTACTGTACGTGGGCTTAACGAGCACTTGCCGCGTCGTATCTGAACGAGCCTCAGGGGTCTGGCATTTTGAAAAAAAACGTAAAAGATGTTTAGAAGTAATTACTCTACGACATGGTACAATGGAGACTTCGACTGATTCGAAAATATATTTTGTCCGCATTTACTAAAATGCTCTGAAAGTGTCGTGGTAAGTTGGTTTATTGATTTGTGACATTGCGTTGTAAATTGATTTATATGACATAAATGTTTATAAACAGATACATCAATGAAGTTTAATAAATAAAATACAATACAATACACGAGACTCTCAATCCAAGGTTGAGGAATCAAGTCCTATCCAGACACTGATGTCCTTTAGCAAGACATTAATTCTCATTTATCACTCTCCAGTCTCCAGCCAGGTGTAAATGGGTACCTGGAAATTGCCGGGGTAATATTATACTTGCATAAGCCTACGAGAAGAGCAGTATTGATACTACGCTTGTTACCCTAGGTATATAAGACCCAATTACTACAACTCTTATTAAACGATTTTTTTTTTCATAATGAAATCGAACATATCGTGTCTTTTATAATCGGGTATGTTGTTCTAAGATGTCATCATTTAGTTAATGGACATGTTATTCCTGTGTAACGTCAGTACTTACAGCTATAGTGTTGACCATTGTTATGGTCGCCTTCACGAAAAGTACTGTATATACTATTTTTGCTTAAGTTTCTCATTACATGCATGGAGGGAGGAACGTTTTTCATGTATAAGTTCTTAATTTTTTTTTTTTTTTTTTTTTACTGTTTATGGAACTCTGTTGCATAACGTATTTTCTTATAAACATGAAACAAGATACCAACATTTGTATTGTTTAAAAAATAGTATATAGCTGTATCATGCGTTTGAGATACAATACTTACAATATTGTTTTACCCCCTGGAGCCTACATAAAAAACAAGGCTTTTACCTTACTTAATATCCTCATTTTCATTTTTTTGTTAAATCTAGTCTTTCATTATTTTGTAAGTATCTACAAGCAAACTAGTGTGATGTAATATTTTTGTTTTTAATAAATACTTGTGTTGATTCAAAATGCCTATGTGTTATTCTTGTAATTATACTTTTTTTTTGGTTTACAAAACTGACGGTCTGCAATTATAAATAGCGTGAAATTTGGAAACTATACCGAACTGAAACTGAATGACAATAATGAGGGAGAGGGGTGGGGTAGGTCAAATGAAGGAAAATGCCTTAGTGCGTCGAAGCATTGGCATTGATTAATTGATTGATTGATGTTCATCTTTATATATATATATTACATATACAAACTTTCATTATGCATAGTCTCATAAAGTCATACATAATAGGGGTCGTCTAGCACAGCTTAAACTGATGTCTTCATCATAAATAAACTGTTCATACAATAAATATACCTATGTAAACAATGTAAAGTGGAAAGCGAAAGGCAAACAAATAAAAACAAATGAGAAATGGGGAAAGAAAAATAGAAATAAAGAGAGAGAGAGAGAGAGAGAGAGAGACAGGGGGTGAGAGAGAGAGAGAGAGAGAGAGAAAGAATGAGAGAGGATAGAGAGGGGAGAGTTGCATCCAGATAGAATTAGATGGAGCATTTAAGGTCTGTACAATCACTTTGACAGATCTCCTGACAACTATGATTATATGCTATAAATTATCAGCTGCATAATTATGCATAGGTACGTGTACATTTGCATGCATCAATAGCCTATCAATGTTACGGAGGCGTTGCTAATATAACTTGTTTGGTAGTAAATAGAAATATTTGCTATTGTCAGCACTGTCTTCTAGAACAATACTCACAGAGCGGGTTTTCCCCTGTGGTTTTCCCCAGCTCATGCGTTGAAATAAACATAAAAACCAATACAATGTGCTTTACACGTGACACTTGTATTCCTTTAACGTATTGCTTACTCTTAGTAATCTATAAATTAGATTGTATCCTACCCTCCCCCTCTCATATATAATTTTTCATATTTGTTTTAAAGCGATCAAACAGGATTTTTTTTTTAATGGCGAAAACCATTAAAAGCCAATAAAATGAAATGAAATCTCATAAAATGTTACTATCATAATACAAGTCGATACAGAACTCCATGTTTCAGTGCTTTTTGCAATATAATATTATCATTACAATTTTGTTTCCATTAAAGAAATAATGTCTTGATTTATCGAGTAATATTTTACCATTTTCTGACACAAATTAATGTCTGACTGTCGAAGTCTGTGATATTCTGTAAAATGATAAATTATATTCATTCGATATAACTTGCAATTATTGATTAATTAATCTTTAAACAAAAGGCAGGAATAATTTTGTAAACGCACACACACTCAATAATCTTATACCTTATTTATTCAGTATCCAGGCGAATAATATCATACGATAACATACACTGTACATATAGAGTAATGGTAGGCCTGTATACAAAGAATAAAGGTAATCAAGCAAGATAGCCAAACAAAAATATGCGTGGGGATTTCCAAAAAAGAAGTTATGTACGAGGGTTATTATCACTCCTCATTTGGAATTGGTAAGTGTTTTAAATGCAAAGAGTAACCCCCCCCCCCCAACAACACAAAAGGGACATAAGTAAGGGCCATCTTCCCCGTGGCATTAATTGTCTGAAAAACAAGAAATCACGTGATTATGGTTACAAGCCGTTGACCTCCCCCCCCCCCCCCCCCCATCCTTTTGACAGGCACAATTTTTAATGATTTCCCTCTTGTTATAGATTTCGAATACACATAACTGACAAGATATAATGTACTGTCTGGAATTACTGTAAATCGTCTGTTGAAAGCTAAAATAATACTTCAACACAAACTTAAAGGTAAAGACCAGTTATGGTCATGCGATTGCATTGTGAAATAAACGTTGTGGAATCGATCAGAAAAGGTTGATCATCTAGCATCTAGCATCTGCAAGGTTCTGGAATCATCAAAATGATAAGAAATTTGGCCCATTCTTCGTAAAGTTACAAGCACTATACACAGAAAGATGTATATGGGACTACCCTATATCTCTCACAAACCATGAGAAAAACAAATTTACCAAATATATGAATTAGTAGGCGGTTTCCCGGCAAATTTTTTTATCATCATGTATTAGTCAAAACATATTCTTTCACATGATTAGTAATGAGAGCTTCCATTTCATTTTTTGAAATTGGGGCGTTTCCAAAACTGGTCTTTACCTTTAACGCCCTTTTGGTTCTGGTTCTCAAAAAATGAAATGTGTATGAGGTGGGTGTCATGTCATACAGTGCGTATACAAAAAAAAAGTGTACTCAACTTTGGTAGCTCCTAATTAAAAAGTAATAACCAAAATGACTTTGAAATATATTTCATTATAACGAGTAACTTGTTTTCTGTCAAATGATACCAAATTCAAAATATTTCTGACAGGGGTGACTTAGCACCAGGGTCTTGAAAAGAAAATGTTGTCAAAATCGCCTTGTACCAAGTTTTGACTGATGGAACGAATGTGGGTCAAATCATATTATATATGCATGTGCTTCTTTGGTCTTAAATCCTTTTCATTACTTCATTGTTTAAAAATGAATGATGCAGTGGATAGTACAGCTTTCACAGAAACTTGTTTCAATCCATAATAGGATAACCTTTGATTATTTTGAACAGCCTACTAACTTCTTGTCTAAAAATTAATTCTCTCTGTCCGTTGCGCCATTTCACACGCGTAAGGAGCATAACATTTTTATCTCGAATAGCGAATGAAAACTCAAATTTTACTATACTCACATGAAAAGTATCGAAGGAATTGAC